CTGCTGTCAAACACGAACAGGGGACTGAAGGTGCAGTTCACAAAAAACAGCCTAATGGGTCTCGTTTTTAGCTCCAACTTGCAGAAAAGCAACTTGTAAGTAAACTTTGTTTTATTTCAAGAGTACTGATATATTTGTACTAGAAAATGGACCAAAAATAGTTGGTAAGATTTTATATTTTTGCATTACATGTCTGCTCTTGAATCAATAGACAAACCGAGAAAAATTATTTTGGTTTGCCTTTTTTCTTTTATGTTCAAGTCAGCACTGCTTGACACATGCAGAAAAGGTAAAATCTTCTCATTATCATCTCAATGGCCTCTGATGTCTACCACAGAGACGGACCATCATCCCACATTCTCACTCATTCATCACGACACTGTCAGGAACCGCTCAGAAAAGTGACCCAAATCAAACTGGTCGTGTCACGCTGCAAACAAAAACAATCCGTGACAAACATCCTAACCAGTCTCGCATGAAAGTGAGCGTGAGACCTGAGAGAGCGGCTGAAATGCAGAAAATTCATGGGAATAAGGAATAAGCCGTGAGCCAGACAGCCCTGTAGCACAGCAAACTTTGCCGAAGGGACAAAGAAAGAAAAGGAAAATCACATATTCTCAGTGGTGCTAGTCAAATACCAATTTCTCTCCACATATGCTTGCAAGCAATGCAAATCCAAAGCTTATGAAAAGAAGTTGGCCAGAGCCATATTGGTTTGTAGATGCACTGAAGGGAATCAATCCTTGCTTTGTGGAGATAAAGCGGCCCCAAATTCTCTGTGCTGAGCGAAGCAGCTCAAATTAACCGACTTTCTGCAACAACTGGCTGAGTGGGGATTAGGACATTATATTTAAATGAAGCATCTGTTTGTGCACACTGAATTGCATTCTTGCCCATGTCAATGCTGCAGCTGCTGCGCTGCTTGCCCAGCAGAAGTAATTTGTAGTGTGAGTCATCAACTCTTCCACAGGTCAAACAGCCCAGAGTGAATCATACAGTATAGATGCATGTAAAGCTGCTCGTCATCCAAATGTTTTCTCTCTGGATGAAGCAACAAGCAAACTGCATATCAAATGTGGGCCATTTGCTCTGTGGGTCTGTGTGTGTTTATGTATGTTTCACTCAGTCTAATGCATTTATTCCAACAATGGACACAGAAAGCCAAACTGGATGCACAACATCAGCTGGTTTTTTTTCCTCCTAAGACTTTTCTACTTGTAGAGTAAAACACTGAGTTTATCAGCTTTTTGAATAATTGTTAAAACTGGCTTGACTGATAGTTTCCACACTTTCTTTCAGAACTTCCTTTCCTGTTTACTTTAACCAAATCTTTGAGAATTAAAAAATAAGACAGTATAGCATGCTGACTTGATAGCAAACTTGGTGCCTGCAATTAACATGTTTTATGAGGTTATTGACTGATAGGGTCATTTTAGTCATACAACACAGGTTTACTTCATGTTAAGGAAATGTTCTTTCCCTTTAATTGACACTAGGCCATATAAAGAAGTCATAAAAACGTGCTACGTGTCCCATTTTCTCATAAGCTAAATGCTAGCTAAACTACCGAAGCTGTTATATATTTTTAATGTTTCTAGTTTTTTACTAAGTTCATCATTCTTTTAAATTTTTCTCAGCGGTTTAGTTGAGCATCATGTATTAGTGAGTTTGTTTAATAAAGAATTTCACTGTACTGGTGAATTATTTTTGTTAATAAACTTTGTATTTTGAAGGCGAGTTGTTTGAAGATAAATAGTTTTGTGTCATATCTGTGATTTTTGCGTAAAAACTAATATTTGTAAATTTCTTTCCAGTGGTTGCAGAAGCAATCCCAGTTTTGTTAACTCCTTGCTCTACATAAAACCTCACAGAAATATACAAACACACATGAGGGAGTGAGGTTGTAATTTCTTTCCTGACTGCATCTCATATAGTCTTGCAAGATACAATTAAGCCTGGTGACTAGGGATCACCTACAGGAAATGGAAAACATGGCACAACAAATTAGAAAAAAGGCACATAACGAGAGGAGAAGGCTGATGGAACACATTTTCAGATATGACTAGAGTGCGAAGTGAAAAGGAAATAGAGTCAAGATGAACAGAGACTGACAGCTCGAAATGGATATTTTGTTCTACTCTTTGCATGCGTCTTATTTTGTGTCAGTCAAGGAAACACAAACAGAAAGTTGAGAATCTACAAACATCAATGACCAAATGAACGTTTTATTTCCACTTAGGAATATCCAACACACCATCATCATCATCACCTCTCTCATCCAGTATATGGGATTTTGCTCCTGGTCCCCATGGTAACCTTGCTGACCTTCACCTCCATCCATGCAGCCAAGGCAATCCGGTTTATCACTCAAGACCACCATTTGTGATTACTGTGCTGTTACAGAACTGCCTCTGCTTCAAGAAGGCAACGCATCTTCAATTTGTCTGAAAGATGACTCAAAGGTTCAAACATTTTCCTTCTGGTCTGCAGAAACACAAACAATACTCACTTTCTTTGTTCGTGGTGAGAATTTGTAAAAATCTATTTGGAAAATTTGAGAAATTTGAGAATTACCCTCTGCACTTATAGCAGATTCACAAAGCATTTTGTGGATCATAAATGTCTGCAAACCTGATCCTGTTTGTTCTTCTAATTGTAGAAGTAGAGACAAGGATCTGAACAACTCTACTGAGGAAACAGAATCTCTGCACTGATGCAGTTTGCCAACGTTGAATGAGACATTATGTATGTATGTTTGTTTAGAGGGGAGCTCAGACATATTTATTTCTATTTCTGGAAACCTCTTTGCATATGATGTTGGCAAGCATCTACACACCCAGCCCTTTCCATAAAAATAATCAAAAAAATTTTATGGAAACCATTAGACAAGAAGTAAACAGCTTTTTATCACCACCAACTTTTAAAAGATATGACTTTTTATTTTATTTGTATTGATTAGAATATGATCATTTTCAATATGACCTCACAGCAGCTTTTAGATTCCTGGTCACTTTAAAGCTGCATTCTGTCACTTATATAAATAGAAAGTACTTAAAATATTTTATTTAATTAAAATATTTAATTCATTAAATATTTTTTTTATCTGTGTATGAATCAGGGATGCATCATTCCATTCCCATACAATCTGCAGCATCACGCATAGATCTAGAGAAACTCATCCATGCGTTTATCTTTAGTCACATTGATTATTGCAACAGCGTCTTCACAGGCCTGTCCAACAAATCAATCAAACAGCTGCAGCTGATCCAGAACGCTGCTGCTCGCGTTCTCACTAAAACCAGGAAGATAGAGACATAACACCAGTTTTAAAGTCCCTCCACTTGCTCCCTGTAGCTCAAAGAATAGACTTTAAAATACCGTTGTTAGTTTATAAATCACTGGACGGTTTAGCACCACAATACATCAAAGATCTGCTGTTGTTGTATCAACCTTCCAGACCTCTCAGGTCTTCTGGTTCTGGTCTGCTCTGCATCCCCAGAACCAGAACCAAGAGAGGAGAAGCAGCTTTCAGCATCTATGCACCAAAACTTTGGAACAAACTTCCAGAAAACTGTAAAACAGCGGAAACCCTGACTTCCTTTAAATCGCAACTAAAAACACACCTATTTAGAATTGTTTTTGAAATGTAATATGTAACAATGTATTGTCTATTATATGTTGCATGACTTTGTGTTCTTGTGTTTATGATGTAAATCACTTTGAAATGCCTTGCTGAAATTTGCTATACAAATAAAATTTGATTTGATTTGATTTAGTTTGGAAACAATGCTGCATTGTTATCCCTCCAAATAGGAGGAAAACTGGTACAAAAACGTGAGCAGATTTCACTGCTGTGTCTAAATTTATTTGAAAATGTTTAATTACTTTCAACAATGGTTTTCTATTTGTGAATCTCCCATAAAGACAAGATTTGTGGAGAGCATAAACGATAGTTACCCTATAAACAGATTATCCCACCTGAGCCATCGATCTCTGCAGCTTCTCCACATTTAGTGACTCGACTGCTTCCCTGAGTAATGTTCTCCTTTTCTGATCAGTCTAAGTGAACTTCTTAAGTTTCTTGGTCTCTGTGATGTTATTTATTCAATAATGTTCTCTCATAGAATAGCTGCATTTATATTTGAATTAAACTACGAACGTCTACTTTCTAAATAAGTGACTTTTGAAGGCAAATGTTTGCAGTGGATTTCATTTCAAGATACCAACATAAAGGTGAATGAATATAGAAGCGTTTCAGATTTTTATGGGTAAAATGCTGTAAAAACATTTTCCACTGTATGCAATACTTTTTGTTGCTCTTTTAAATAAAATCCCAGTAAATGCATGTGACAGATACTCCTTAATAAGTGTATACATCCAAGACAAACTTAAATAATGTTAACATATAAATCTAAAATAACATCTTCCCTGAGCCACTTCAAAACACCTCAGTTATGTTTCTAACTTTTCTCTTTGCAAAATTATCATTATGAAGCATAATGTTTGAATAATGCCTGCTGAATAACTGCAACTAAAAAAAACTACCATCAGCAGATCATTCTAAAAATGAGCAGTTGTTTTACTCTGCTAATAAATATTATAAGCAAAGAGCAAATTCTTGCGGTTGACGGCAAAACCAATCTTCAGAGAAACTTATCTCAGAGAAATCTCACTCTAAACAAACATTTTTGGCCTCTTTTGAAAAAATAACTAAATTTTTCCTTACATTTGATTCAAACTCTTCTAGAGACACATTCATTTCCTCTAGTATGTGCTTAAAAAAAGACAGCACAGGTGAGAGACCTGCATTCCTTGATATTAACACAACATGTTTGAAGCAAACAACAGTGGCAGCTCATGCAGCATCCCTGCTGTTACAACATCTGTGGAAAGCTCTCTCTTCCCGACTCGGTGCCATGTTTGGCTAATCTGTCAGTTCTTAATCAGCAGACTCTAAGAAGTGAAAGGGAAAAGCAAGAATGAAAGCTACATGCTCTCACCTCAGGCTCAAGGTCAGTCGTCCATCTTTAGCCCTCAGCAGATCCCCGATGGAAAAGGTGACGCTACCGAGGAAGGAGCTCTGCAGAGAGGACACAGAACCTGGATTAATGAAGTTCTTCAGCAGAAAAAGTCACTGAATGATCAAAAATGGCACCATACATATTAAAAAGCCCATTTATCAGAAAGTCATTACTTCACCACTTACTAAGTTACAAAGCACCTCTGATTTCTTAACCTTTGGATCAGAGAAACCAAACTTTATGTTGAATCTGGTCAACAGGCACCTTTGGATTTCGTTAATTATCTCCCCAGTTTTTCTCCAGTATAGCTTTGTCAGTCAATATAATCACTCACATATGATGTAAATAACATAGATAATATTTTGTATCTGTTAGTGAGTGAGATTAGGCAGTAAACAAACATTTCTTCTTCAGAGTTGATGTGTTAGAAGCAGGAAAAATGGTAAATGGCCGGTGTTTGTACTGTGCTTTATCTAGCTCTGAGGACTCCAAAGCACTGCATTCAGTCATTCATACACTGATGGTGACACTTTGACTGGTCACAGGATGAACTCCTACCTGCTGAACTACCATTGCCCCAAACATGGGCAGTGGAAGGTTTTCAGTGAGTATGATAAGGTCAGACAATTGTGTGTTTGTAGTATTAATCTGTTTCATGTTGCAATAACAACATATTGCTTGAACCCAATTTTTGGAAGGGTATGCATAATAAAGAATGCATACCCTTCCCAATTGCATACTTGCAACTCGTTTGGTGCGTACCGTCTTTCTCAGCATTATTACAAAGCTTGCCTTTCATGGAGACTGTATTCCCTGATGGCGACTTTTTCAGTCTCTTGTCACACCGTTAGACAAATGGTCACAAAATTATGGCTGATTGGATTGATAAAGAGTGCTTAAGCAAGCTAAGGAAAGTAGAAAGGCAAAAGATAAAAGAAATGTCAGCCCTGAAAATTGACTTCCAACACAAGAGCTGTTTCTGAAAATCAGTTCAGTAAGATGCAGAAATCAATCTAACATAGACCCAACAAAAGATCTGAGAGACCAAGAATAGCTCTTTTGGAATCAAACTTTTGGTGCTAAAATACTATTTTTGCATACAAAGTGCAGAAGATTCAACTAAAAAGGGCTCTTTGCTCTCTTCTCTGTCTGTACAACACGGGTTCATTTCTCCAGTTCAGAAATGTATGCCTGGATGAGTGACAGGAATCAAAATATATAAAAACAGCTAAAGAGTTTTGAATAGGCAAAACTGTGTAATCTTTCTAATATAAAATACAACAGCATTCTTCTCTTTTTGGCTAATGTCACTCTTTTTTTTCTTGCTGTTCTGGCGACATGCATTTGCTGCAGGGAAGATATGAGCAAGGGGCGTCAGAGCACAAGAACTGGGTCACGGAGAGAAGAGTACAGGACAAGCTCATCAATAACGCAGATCTGCATCGGAAGAAAACACAGACCCTCATGGGCCCGGACAGATACATGCATATGTGCTGACACACATACAGATGCAGCACGACCTGCACCTGCAACAAACAAAGATGACATGCTAAACTGTGTCACAAGGAGAAACGGCTGCAGCAAATAGTCTGTGGTGACCAGCAAAGCTAATGAACATTAAGTGCTGAGATGAACATTTTTTATAGAAGGAAATAGTTTTTATAGATTGGGTAAATGGCTCTTTAGCATGAAATACTACAGCCTAATTTCAAACTATTTTATCGGACTAAAACAACAAAAGGTGTTTGGTTTTGCCTTTCTGTTCTGCACACCATATCGTTTCTGATGGTTCATTGAACACTACAATGTTTATACAGAAGAGCTCTATTTCTGCTTTGCTTCTGCTCTATTTTACAGGCATATCAGAAGTTCTGACTCGCCTCTGAAGACAAACACAGAATTGTGTTTATTTTTTTATTTATGAATGTAAATGAGTTTCAGGTGTTGTTAGTGAGCATGCAATGCTTCTGGTCTTCCTTTCATGCACAAGACAATGAAAATAAAAAGAGGCTGTGAAAATGAGATAGACACATTTAAGACAAGGCAAACGTAAATTAACAAATACCAACCAGAACTAGTACCAGTCAGGAGCATGTCTGTAGATATTCATTTATTTATTATTCTATCCAATTCACATATGACTTTAAAAGAACTATGAGAATAACGAAAAGGCCTGCTTGAATTTCCCAAGATAAAAAGGCAGCTTGTATGTTATTCTTTTGAACTGTCTGTCAGACACAAAAAGCAGTAAATCATTTATCTGACAGAAGTAAATTATACTGTTTTTTTTATTATCAAGGATCAAGGTAAACCAAGGCCTTACTAAACTACTTCAAAACTTTGTGTTTCTAGAGTTTAAATTTGTTATTCTCTTAATTATATTCTTAAATATGAGTAAGATGATGGGAGGAGAATGTGCCGTGGTTCATGGTATCTTGGTCTCAGCCTCCATAAAAGCAAGACCAAAACATGTAAACAATAAAAATATAATAATACTACTAATAACACATAAATCAATGCATTTTAAGACCTAAGAGAGTCTACCAAATTTCTCCAGCTGTCCTCTAGTCAGCTGAGTCCCTTTATTGTCCCCCAACGGGGGATTAGTTTTGCAGTCAGGCATTTCAAGCACAACATAAAAGTCCATCAGCAATGTTGAAGCAGACAACATTGTCGGCATACTTTTATGTTGTGCTATGTGTTTGAAAGAAAGATTTAAACAAGTTGCAAGCTGTGAAAAAGTGTACAGATTCCTTTAAAAAAAATCACACTCAAATATTGATATCAGACAAAAATAACAAAAATTAACACAAAAAGGGGAAAATTCTACCCAAGCCAACCTGGTTTACCAGTAAAAAAGTGGCTGGAGTGTTTTTACGCGGAGAAAATGTTCCAGTTTTATTTATGGTGAAATAAAAAAAGATTACCTCTTTTTTTATTTCACCATAAATGTTATTATTCAAGCTTTTATTTTTTGAGCTACCTCTACTTTTGTGCCTACATTTGAGGCTGAAAACCAACTACCTCTTGAGAGAGTGCTGGTGTAACTGTATGCAGATTAAAGTAATGCCACCCCACGTACTGGATGTAATACTCAGCTTGATGAAGGAAGCTTTTTTCCTGTAGTAGGAGGGAAATTTGAGGGCTGGGAAAAAAACTGGCAGCAGAAATTTGCATTATTTTTGAGGAAATGCTGCTTGGACAAAACAGCCAAAAGCTGCACAAATTAGCAAGTAAGGCAGTATAAAGCAATAAATACCCCTCTAGCATCTAGCTAGCACATAATAAAACTAATTAACTAACTATTATCAGCGTCTTTAGTTCTAAAGTTACATCCTAAAGAGGAGAATAGCTGAAAACAGTGAATATTTTTTGTTCAATAATAAGATTTCCGTTACCACTACCTTATGGGTCTGCAACTCAAGTCCAATGTCCTGAACTTTGAACTTTTAGATTTATCACTGCTCCAACACACCTAAATCAAATGACACCAAGGAGGTCAGGTGTGTTGCATCAAAAGTTGTCAGATCCTCTCTACACTAGCATGAAGACTTTCTGAACAAGACTTGGTACTGCGTCCATTGTCAACAGATAAAAATTGAGATTTAAAAAAAAAAAACACTTTACACAGAGGAGACCCTTGAAAATTTTAAATGATTGGAGACAATGACATGGAGAGGCCAGCTTCACACAGAATTCACACCTGAGTGCTGTGAATCAGTCACCACTTCTTTTATGAGAGGACACCAACAAAAACCATTTACATTTTTTTTCTTTTTGCTTTGATTTTTTTCAATGGTGAATTTCGATGTTTTTTGTGTTTGAAAAGTATTTTCTGTGCCTTCCAACAAATCTGTTGTTCTTCAACTTAAAATCAATGACATTTCACAACTTGGCGGACTATTGCCGGATATGTTTAAAATACATATCAGTACATTACCAGCTCATTTTCAAAAAGATTTATGAAAAGAGATAGTATTTGATCATTTGAGAGGATCAGAATGTTGTATTTCTGTTTATGGAACAAATCAGTAGTGCAATCTGTCTAAAACAAGAGAGAATAGATTAATATTTATTTTCAACAAAATAGCAGGATATAATATTCAGCTTATAATGAGCACATGGATTTAGCAGAGTGTTGTGTCATTTCAAACATTACATGTTTTTTCTTTACTATTATTATATTAACAGATACACGTTGGCTGTTTTGTGTTTAAAAGTGCATCGGAATGATTGAATGTGTTTAGTTATGTTCATTTTGAACTGTAAATGAAACAAAATAAGTAAATAAATAAGCCTTTCTGTATTTTTTGAAGTGTTTACAATAACTTTGACTATTTAGATGTTTCTGTTTAGCTAATTAAATGCTGCACTCTTGATTGGTCACATTGCATTCCTGGCATTTATATATTTGTAAGCTCATTAGCTGCCTGCATGCTGTTAAAGATGTAAAGTCAAAATGTGCTCAGCTTTGTACAGATGATTAGTCCAAACTGATTACACTAGTAAGAGAACAATCTTGATTTTTTTATTCTCTAATCTGGAGAAGCATGCTCAAACTGTCTGTTGAAAAGAGTAATGATGTCCTAAATAATATTGCAAAATTTAAGATTATAATTAACTTGAAATGTCATGCAGACTTATACCATATTTAGACTTTTAGAAATTAGCATCATTGGGAGATTTCAATCAAAAATAAGCGGGTCAAAACTTGAAGAGAAAATTGGACGAAAGATAAAGAAAAAGAAAAGAACCAACATGATGAATGTAACCTTGTCAGAAGTTTTGGGTCATAAAGTTGCTCTGATTAACTGAGCATGGCTGAGCAGAGCCGCAGTGACTCCCTGAAACACAGCAAAGCTGACAAGTTCAATTCAATTCTTGTCAGTTTTATTTATGTCGCTCCAATCTGAAACAAAATGCCATCTCTAGAGACTCTGTATAATGTGATAAAATAGGCAGTAGATGTCTTTCACCCGGAATATACAATATTCACACTCTACTCTCCACAGTTCTAGATTTCTCATCAATAATCTGTTTTAGTAATGAAAAGAGTTTA